ACACAAAACTTCCCGATCGATTGGAATTTGAATAATCGCCTTCCTTCTCGTCGGTTGAACGTCGTGCACCTACAAAGAACTCTCACACCGGAGGGGCTTTCCGGTGAAGAGCCTCCGAAGCTTAAGTCAGTGTATATTCAATGAATCTCAAGAGTGAGTAATAGAATGATCGTATTGAATAAGAAAGGCTCACCCCCTTTATATAGAGGTGAGATACCTGACCTAGGGCTGCCCGGATTTGGTGAGCTGTCTTCCCTAACTGCTCGTCCGTACACACACAATATGCGTGTGTCAGAGGTAGCCGTCGCCACTATCGTCTGCACCAATACTCTTTGGACGCGTGTCCTCCTACACATGGGGTAAGTTGCCAGATGTGGTTGTCGCTGTCAACCAATGTGTTCTCGACACGTGTCCTTCTGCACATGGGGTGAATATCCTTCTGAAATTCCTTTAGAAGCTCCTCCACGCGCCTATGACTAGGTCGATCCACGAGGCGTCAAGTCCACGAAGTAGTCGACCTGTGGAGGTCGAATGAACTGTTCGACCACCCACTTGGTCGAATGATAGGTTACTCGACTTCCTGGCTGGTCGACTGGTTAACTGATCGATTTCTCTACCACCTGGCTCGATTCTATCGCGATCGAGCCTCCCAGCTGGTTCAGTAAACCGGTTTAGCCTTGTGGGTATAATATCCTATATCAGGTAGGAACTTGAGGGACAGGGGCTTGAGTCCCTTGCTGGTTACGGCGAGAGGTCTCTTCGCCGTTTCGCCGGCGGGATTGGGTGCCGGACTGCTGCGTTGACTCGTCGTGACTGGATGAAGCCATCTCGGACGATGTTCGAGGTAAGTGAAAGGGATGAGTATATGGGGTTTCACAAGGTCGAATAATTGACACCAAATAACTTATGGTGCCCTCTTTCTAGCGCCAAACTGTTTACGAGCGTTTTCGATCAACGGTTAAAATGATAAATAATGAAAGTGTAGGACTGGAAACGAGGGAAAGATATAGTTTAAATACGATTTTATTAAACGATCACGAGGTCGGCCTCTCGTACGAGGTCGACACTTGCGATATTCTTACAAAGGGTTTCTTACAGTTTTAGAGAAAGAAGGTAGAGAGAAGGCAGAGTTAGTTGATATTCAACAACCCAAAATAAATGAAATGAGCTGCTATTTACAGTATCCTTAAATGAGGTACTGTTCAGGTACTGTTCACCGGTCTTGTCGCACAGTAATCTTGCAGAGCAGTTCGGTGTCTCCCTGACATCTATTTAATGCGATTTGAGGTTTCTTCAATCATTGTCTGTCAGTCATTTAATGCAAGCATGGGGGCATTTAATGCTGACAGGCTTTCTTGACTAGGCTTGCTTGTAGGGTGCCAGGCTATGACAACTCGTCCCATCGTCCAATGATGACCTTCCAAGTGGGAATATTTTAATGATCGCCGAGACCCGTCCTTACCTTCGAGATGGCCACTCCGGGCCTCCATGTCGGCACTTTTCTCGAATGTGCTCATGAGACGGCCGGGAATCTACCTTCAGCCCGGCACCCACCCAAGTCGGCTTGTGCATGTACTGAGGTAGGTGCCGATCTCGGGAAACATTCTCATGGTGTCCTGAGTATTTTACTCTTGGTTTAGCTCGGCACTCCTGTGCCGGACCGGGTCCTCAGCCCGGGTCTTAATGGGCTAAATCTTCTCGGTTCATTCTAGACTAACTCAGATATCAACATGTATTTCTTTGTGTTGTTTTATGTGTTTGTGTTTGTAGTTTTGTTGTATTTGATGTGTTTCTTTTGTCTTGTTTGTGTCTGTGTTTTGTTTTCTTCTCATTTGGAGGAGCGTGTTATTCTCCTGTGGGGAGTTAGTGTTATTCTCCTGTGAGGAGTTAGTGTCATTCTCTTGTGGGGAGTTAGTGTGATTCTCCTGTGGGGAGCTTCTATTTTTCTTTTCGTGATGTAGTGTGTTGTGGCTTCTAGGCTGGCCTCTATGAGCAGCTCCTATTCCGGTTGTCCACCGGCTGTAAAAAGAAAAATGAAATCAACTTGCACAATTGTTCGTTATTATTGGGCCCCCAAAAGGCAAAAAACTACTTAAAATTTAAAATTTAAACCTTGCCCACCACTCAACGTCAACGTTGTCAGCTATGAAGCAAAGATCCAATCTTGACTCGCTTTTTTAATTAGTATGAAGTCTTCCAATTTTAATACATCCCCTCCCAATCACTTTAGAGAAAATAAAAACATCACCATGGCAGGCGAAAGCACAATCAAACCAAACCCAGGAAACAGTCATCACGAATTTACCAAAATAACCCTCAGGCCTATCGAATTATCGGACACAGACGATTTCATGGTGTGGGCAACAGATGACAGGGTAACCAAATTTTGCATTTGGGACACATACACTTCAAGAAGCCAAGCCCTTGATTTCATCACCAATTTCGCCATTCCCCACCCGTGGTTGCGGGCAGTTTGCCTCGACGATCGGGCCATCGGGTCGATTTCAGTCAGCCCGAATTCAGGCAACAACAGCTGCAGGGCCGAGCTCGGTTACGTGTTAGCTCACGAGCACTGGGGAAAAGGGATAGCCACGGAAGCAGTAAAAATGGTGGTCTCGAGTATTTTTGGGGAGTTGCCGGGTTTAGAGAGGCTCGAGGCTTTTGTGGATGTGAAAAATAAAGGGTCACAAAGGGTACTTGAGAAGGCTGGGTTCTTAAGGGAAGGCATTTTGAGAAAGTATATGGTTGTAAAGGGTGTTACTAAGGATATGGTGGTTTTTAGCGTTCTTGACAGTGATCAACTGTTGGAAATATTATGATTGTAAAAGACGAATTAAAAACGAGTTTCAACACATATACGTATTTATAATTTGAAAATAGAAACCACAAACATCAACCACGAGAACATGAGATGAAACCAGATTTCTATTAGTAAATAAATAAGTTTATTATAAAATAAATAACTTAACTTACAGTTCTATATTATCATAGAACACAAATAGCCGAATCACAGAAAATCTGTTTGCCTTGAAGAAACAGACGCCCCGATACTGTGCAACGAGTACTACGTCTTTTCTCCCAGGATAAGACGGCTCAAAGTGTGAAGACTGCACTATCTAACACACTCACCTCGATCAGAAGCTCAGTCGCCAAGAACCCTTAATTTTTCTTAGACTTCTTGTGAGAGATGAAAGAGAGTATTTATATAAAGTATTCCTTTCTTTTTCTTCTTTCACTTGATGTGTTCTCGTATGTCTCCCATGCACTATATATATAGTGCTTCAAATTCATCTCCATTGAATGCATGAGAGATGCCTTAATGCTTTCATTAATACAAGAGTAATGAAACTTTAATTTCATCTCACTTCTCATCTCACATTTCAAAACCGACCAAAACATAATGCTCGGTTATGCTTTTCAATGAATTGAGACATTTACAAGAAACACATCCATTTACATTAAACACATCCTTTTATCTAAGGATTCCACAATATATATTCTCTCTTTCTACATGTAATATTAATTTTATTACAACATCAACATCATGATTTGTAATGGTTTTTGGGCTTAAACATTTTTTATGTGTTCTGTGTATCAATCTGAATATTCTGGCAATGAGATGGCCTTTTATGTTTGTTTTCTTATTTGCTTATCTGTGGTACAAGAATGTTTT